TTTCCTCGTCCTGGAACGAGAAATCTCTCCGCCGCACAATTCGACCGACGTCGGTGTCAGTATATCTCTGCTGATCTCGTTACGATTCGCGGCCGGAGCTGTTTTAGATACCGGACTATGTATTTGGGCACTGGTTTCGATCGGTTGCGCAAGGTGATTCGTACCCTGTCGCTAAAAAATGTTAAATTAAGTCGTGAACTTTCGTCGATCCTCGATTTTACAGCGGAAAGGAGGCGAACGAATGCTCGAGCATTACGTGATGTAGGTTAATGCTGGACTGTGAATTAGCATGCGGGATACAAATTTGCTACCTCGGTTGCAACAAACTGCAGCGAACTGGAATTTTGGCCATTTCGTTAACAGGTTCAACGAATCGGAAATAGCGTAGCGATATATTTTCCGATAATTCTCTGCGCTTTTCCCACGCGGATTTATTCGGAAACGTGCAAAATCTGCGCCTATTAATTTTGATAATAGCAATTACATTTTTTTAAAAAATAGTTGAATAGTTAAATATAATAATATAATAGTAATATATATAATAATAATATATAATAGTAATAATATATATAATAGTAATAATATATAATAATAATAATAATATAATAATAATAATATAATATATATATATAATAGTAATATATATATTATTATTGTATATAATAATAATAATATAATATATATAATATAGTAATAGTATAATAGGAATATAATAGTTAAATAATTATAATATAAAAAAGTTATCCATTGAATAATAATCTCGAAAGAAGTTATCAGATCTCGGAAATTGTAATCTAACTATCGGGAAATTAGCTGAAACGAACGACGAAGCATAAATTGACCGTGAAACTGTTTCTAATTTCTTTTTTCGAGCTTTGAATGATCGAACGTTCCCGAATCTTGTTACGGAAAAAATAAAGAATCTCGAATAAATGGCGTTAAACAAACATAGTTGTCAAATGAAGATCGAAGCGATTAACTTTGAACAACCGATAAAGTTCGTGAAAATAAAAATCTGATTCGAGTGTGAGTCACAGTTTTGCTTAAACGAGTTACGCAATTCCGCGGTGAACCGCGGACTCGGCGCCGGACTGTATGACAATGCGTTATTTTTCTTTTTCAGAACGCCAATTATTTTTAGAAAGGAGCCATAATACCGTTAATAACATCTCGCTGAAAAGTTTTACGCCACAAAATCTCGCAGCGCTTACAGGTCCTCGAGAAAATTGAACGCGGCTCTTACGCATGATTTATCGCCGTTCCTGGAGATCGCTATCGATCCGCGCGGAAATTTTTTTATGCAATCTTCAGCGAACAACTTTTTTGTTTACGAACGGAACGCGTGATCATGTCCGCGCTCTGCCTCATTTGTTGTTTGCTGAGAGAAAACGTTTTTCTATAACCAGGTAACATTCTAGGAGAATACTTTTTAAAATATTATATTGAAATTGTTATTATATTATTAATCATTATATTATTAATTGATTATATTATTAATCATTATGTTATTAACTATTATATTATTAAGTATTATATTATTAATTATATTATTATTTTAATTAATAATTATTATTATATTAAAAAATTATATATTTATTTTTTAAAATATTATATAATCTTATATTGCGTTTTGTATTGTTCGATCAAATTATAAGAATTGCACTATTTAACTCGATATTACTCGGTGCTATATGCAATTTATAAGATTATACTATACTATTACTATACTATACTATACTATACTTATACTATACTATACACTACCATACTATTTTGTAGATTCCCGTATAACGCGATAACGTGTGATGCGTTTAAAGAATCCGTGTTATATGAAATCTTGTCTCATGGAAATTGTCCTCTTATAATACAAATAATATTTCTAATGTGTATTAACCGGGGTTCGAAAATATTCCGAAAATTGTTCGCGAGCTGCATTGGAATTTATTACACGTTCCAATGAGGACATGTATGTAAATAAAGAATTCTTGAGATTAAAAATTTTATCTTCGTTTGAATTAATAAAATTTGAAAATGAATTTATTTCTACATCAGGGGAACTGCTATTTTGTTAATTAACATAAGAAAAGTTCTCAAACATTATGTAAGAAGTGTCAAATATTATTTAATGAATATTATAGAACTATTAAATGACTATTCTGGTTATAAACCAGAAATAATAATTATGACATATAAATATGACATATAATAATTCGGTGTTTCATTTATTTTATAGGGACATTTTTAATAAACGTTCTAAAAGAATATGTTTCCGTGAAACTTTTAATGTGCAGATTCCAAAATATCTCTTCCACGAGAAAATTTATTGAAAAAGTTCTCGAATGTTAACATCTATTTTCGTAAAAGTTTCACAGGAACAGATATTTTATTGAACAAAACTCTTACACCCAATTACATTCGACGAAAGAAATAATTTAACAAATTCATTATGCAGCTACAATTAGTCAAGCAAAACCGGAAATACATTGTTATAGCATTGATCGTTAGTCACTGTCCGAACCGTTCAAAGTTACGTTCTAATACTTTCGTTTCAGTGTAATTAGCCATTCAGATTTACATATTTTCATTTTACTATATGTATGACGCGTTGTACGAGAAATCGCGTTATACGGAAGTGTGATCTCATAGATCATAAATCTACGTTAGAAAATTGATATTAATTTATTCCTCATTTTATAAAACATAAATTGAAAATAGTAACAGTTAGATAAAACGAGTGAAATAATTTAGTATAGCCAACAAAAATTAATTTATATTTTGAAAGGCGAGAAATTTAAAGGGAAACCAAAGTAAAAATTATTCATTTATTTATACAATTCAAATTTTTGAACTTCAAGCGAATTTTTATCTCAGCTTATTTTATTCCATTATATATTCTACTACTTTATTATTATTGTCAATTACGTCTTATGTTATTTTATTGTGAACTGATATTGTGATAAACAGGATGAGCAATGCACTGATGTATAATTTCAATCGCGATACTAGTACATAATTAGGATACCGAGCGATGGGCTGAGTCAATAATTCTGTGATAATGATAATTTTAATTCGTGTAACTTATATTGTGCCATATGACCTCAGACCATTTTATTCCATTTTTTTATCTCTTGCGTTTTACTTACGCACTACTATCAGTATTATTTTACTCTATTCTAGTCTATTATGATCATAGACATTTTTTATTCGTATCTTATTTTATTTCATTTTATTTTATATTATTCGATATTATTTTATTCTCATATTTTCAATCATCGATTCAACACTCTAGTCCATCAATATGGATAATATACCGTCTTAATTCATTACTTCTGCAAGATGTTAGCCTATTTTATTTTACTTTTATTCTATTCTATTTGATCTTAACCTAACTTACATTTACCTTACGTTTCTCATTATTATTCTATTACCTATAGTACTATACCACTATAGTACTTGTATTATCTTAGGTTATCTCATTATGATTCACTTACGTATTTATTCTTATTAACCCTTGTCAAAAATGCTAATGTTGTCGTATCCACCCTCAGGGGAACATAAATTGTTAAATAAATTATTAGTGGCGACATCGGTGTACAAATGCTGAAACAAGTGGACTGTTATTATCACAAACGAGGTATACGAGTGAACCTAGCATCACGAACGAGGTATAGAAGCAGACCTAGCACACACCTTAGGATTCGTACAGACATTGCATCTTATGGGCTTTTCTTTCTCAGCTTTGGAGGGATCTAGAACAAAGCTGTCGGAATATTTAAATATTCGAGCGGATCGAGAAATCCGGTCCGAGTTAGGACTCAGATATTTTTCTTTCGAGCTACTCGATTCTTTCGAATCTCGGCATGGATCAAAATTATTCGAGCCGAATATACCCGATTCATGTTTTGCGAGTACATACTCGAACAGCTTTACTCTAGAGCCCCCTTACCATTTCGTGTCGCGATCAGCATTACCGACAGTTCACGAAAACTAGAAACGTTAGCAAGAAGCGAATATCCCGTATATCTCATTTTTACTACGAGTGCTGAATAATATTTGGAAGCATACGATATCGTGTAATCATTTTTGTGAACAGTTGAGCAATTATTTCTACTAATTATATATAATAATTAATGGTGGTACATATATAGCAATAGTTTATATATTTTTTCTTGCAGATGGATATATTTGCAACGTTAATAAATTTATAATTTAATATATTAACACGTTGAATGTCACGAGGGTCACCGGTGACCGGCACTTAACTTGCCGGTGACCCGGTGACCCGCGTGCCCAAATTAATAGAAATATATATAATTTAAAACAAATGTCAATATCTAAAATTTTGTGTTATTACCATCGTCAATTCAAACAGTGACCCCTGACGCAATTAACATGTCAAACATGGTTATACACTGTAACTTATCTATTGCAGATAATATTTCAACATTATATGTATCACATAAAAGAAAATTCATCGTGACGCCACGGACAATTTCTGTAAAACCGGCGTGGCATTCAACGTGTTAGTGTTGCAAACACCCTTCGATGATATAGCATCTCTAATTACATAACTATAAGAAATAATAGCTCCACTGGCCATAGAAATAATTACACTTCATATTGTATCTTTGTAGTACATGTTCCATAAATACTATTTCCATCGTAAAAACATTCGCGCCGTACATTGCCTTCGAATAATATTCAGTTCTCGTAGTAGAAATGAAATATGTAGAATATTCGCTTCTTGCTAACGTGCTTAAGTGCGTGAACTGTCGGTAATGCTGAGCGTGACACGGAAATGGTAAGGGAGCTCTGTTGAAATAGAAAAATCCACAACGTGACTATACGGATCCTAAGTCTGAGGTTCTACCAAAGATAGCGTCACCATTTTGTATCAAGACACTCATGAATTACCAACAATTTTATATTTCGCGTTCAGCTTCAGTATTCTCTGAAAAGATGGCGCCTCATAATACCAAAAACGACAAATAGGTGTGTAATTTAACCGATAGAAATGTTTAACTTATAAAATAAATATAAAAGGATTGTAAATATCCTAGAAGGAAGATTATAATATCTACTTCGTTGCTATACATTATTTTCTTCAATTTATCCTGATTTATCATTTCCACAGATTCGACATAATAATACAATTGAACGGTAAAAACAATTATGAGATATAAAAAACATTTGAACCTCGTCGAACAAAGGTAAAAGCCCGGGTGCAATGAGGCAAAAGACAATTGTCTCGCTTAGGCTGCACCGTCAGACGCATATATATGTATACGTATACATGTATGCATGCACGCACTCGCCGAGCTTGAGTTTACAATGACATTCCTTGGGAGGAAACTGGTCTGAAATTGGTCTTGGATTGTTCGGTGTATCGACGTTATCTCTTAGGGAAACGGTTCTCTTTAAAAGGCGACCAAGAAAACGCCTGTTCGCGGTCTAATAGGAGAAACATTCAATCACTTCTGCGTTTGGTCAAATCGAACTTGGAGGTCTGACGAATTAGCAAATTCTTATTCCAATTTTCTCTTTGATCCTTCACTCGCTCAAAATCAATATCTTCTGCATCAATTGCCCTAAAAAAGAAAAATCAGAAACTTATTTCTACTTTAACACTAATACCACCTAGAATGTAACTAATGTATATCGTTTTATAACAATTACAAGATCAGATGTGTTCAAGCTTCGTACAATTTCTATTACAACATATGTTCTAAGAAACATTTTCATAATTTTGGCAACTGCAACCAAGAACGTCAACAATTTCGATGATTTCGTCAACAGATTCAGTAGTTCGCGTGTTAATTATTCTAACAAACCGGAAAATAGTACATTGTTGTTCCCGAATTCGTTTAAATCTGTTTACTTAAATTTGATCATCCCACTTCTGCCACTTCACAAAATCTGTAATCCACTCGACGTAACTATACCTGTGATAGCGCGCGCGAATTGTTGTACGACGAAATATTTATCGGACAAGTTGGAAACACATTCAAACCATTTTCAACCGACGATAAAGTTCGATTCGCGATCCACTGCGATCTCGCTGAACACCATCAATTAGAGCAACGATATTAAAGTAACCCGATCCACAAACATAATACAGTCAAAACTATCATTCGCTTGTTTCCGCTTGCTGTCGTTTGGCGAGATCCCCGGCTACGTGAATAGTTTGTATATTTTGGTAAAGAGGCTGCGCGCAACGAATTGGCTAAGCGCATCGGAGGAAAATCCTCTGAATGTATCCTGCGTTTCCCCAAAATTTCTACTTTCTTGGCCGGCGGCCCTGATTCGTTCGCCCTGAACCATAGAACACCGCCGAGCGTCTTTCAGAACGTAGAACGTGTGTAATTCGACTAGACGAATCTCGGTGGCCATCGATCGGCCATACGTCAAACGAAAACTGGACCGGAGATCAACGAACCGGAACGTGCCCCAAGTTTCTCCCTGCTGCCGGATCGCGTCCTCCCTCCTTCCGAGCTTTCCTGTGCCCCGGAGCTCCTGCGTTGGCGGCCAGTCGTCCGATGACCTTGAATCTCGCCAGAGGGGCCATGAGTCACGCTGCGGATCTCGTGCTTCCAGGAAAATTTTCCTATGAAACGCGACAATCGATGCGGCGACTCGACAACTTCCTGCACGGGAACACTTGGACGCTTAGAATTTATCTGCGAGCATGAGTCATCGGATCGCGCGGCCGCGCGCGCGCGCGCGCGAGTGCCTCGTTCTTCGTGATCCTTCCACGCTGGAAAGTTTGCCAATCGTCCAGTTCGTCGACGCGTTTCCCTCTATATGGTCCTTCGAACTGAGCCAGAGTTGTGAAAGAGGTTATGTCTCGTGTCCGTATCGCGCGATTTTTTAATCGATTTATCGACTCGATACGAATTTTTACGGCGCGACGCTCGAACCGAGCCCGCACAGACGTCGAACAGAGGGCGCAAAGAAGTCTCGATGATGATAATTTGTTTGGGAGCATGTGCATCTCCGCCGATCGCGAGATGCAAACGATGGACAGCCATGAGTGACGCGACTGATACGGATATCGATCTCGGGGAGAACGTATATTTTTATAAGGTAGTTTTGTAAAAATAGGATAACGTAAACATTGTAAAATTTAGAATGTAAACCAAAGTTCCTTTTGTAATATATACGCGCGTTACATGTGTTGTACATTATGCATACAAAACGAATAGATATGTGCATATGTATATTGTATATTTTAACAATACATGTATATCCAATGAAAGTAAAATTGCAAGCGTTTCAAAAAAAAGCAGCGCTTAAAAACATAACTAGTTCAACATAAAACTAACACTACGTTAAGCACAGCGCGGCATTGTGTCAAAATTCGTAGGCCGTACTCTCTCTCTCTCTCTCTCTTTCTCTCTCTCCCTCTCTCTCTCTCTCTTTCTCTCTCTCCCTCTCTCTCTCTCTCTTTCTCTCTCTCCCTCTCTCTCTCTCTCTTTCTCTCTGACGAATCGTATATTTTATTAATGACTAATTAATAAAGCGTCAACCAATATTTTCACTAAGAAGAAGGTTACTTATAACAATATATTGTACATGTATAATACATACACACTGTACTATACATTATACATTGTATGAATATTGTGTATTAACGTGCACGCTCGAGTTAACTCGAGCGCGCTAAACAGGCGAAACTGTGCACACTCGAGATAATTCGAGCGGCGTTGTATTTTATGCTGCTATAATTTTTCACACTCGAATATAATCGAGAATTGAAAATACGAATGTGAAAGCAAAGAAAAAAGATCGTTTTATTGATATTTATCGTTAACATGGGCTATATATAACGCTTATTTATTCCAGAATAAAATATAGCCTTTTTCCATGGAACAAAAGCGCAGTATATCAAAATTCCACCGCATCGATGTTTCACCAACACCAAAAAAAGAATCGCCCACAAGATATTGCGCTGTGTGTTGTGCTAAAAGAGATAGCAAAGGGAAAAGGAAAAGAAAAGAGAGTCGTTACATGTGTAAATAGTTGCAATGTCCGGCTATGTGCTCTGCACCTTGTTTCGAAATATATCACACAAAAGAAAATTTTGACTAATTTTACAAATACTAGTATTGTTATTATTTATGTTTTGAAAGTATAAATAAATATTTTTACTGCTAATAATGTTTATTCTGAAATGGGAATTCGAAAAGAAAGATAAAAAAAAGTCGTGTCAAAATCCAAAATTGCAATAAAAATTTTGATTATTTTTGTATTTTTGTAATTTTCTTGCCAAGACAACGTTCTAAATTGTGCTTTTTTACATTTAAAAAAATTGATTTTTTTTGGCCGGCCTTTTTCCAAAAAAACTGTTCATTAAGGAGTTAATGGTGTAACAGTATAGTTAAGAGTGACAGGAGTTATTGGTATGGAGCTCTGCGAAGGGCAGAGAGAAAGAGAGAGAAAGAGAGAGAGAGAGATAAGAGCGACATTCCTCTCGAGTAATCGGCGATTAGAGAACGGCAATGGCATTTAATACCCATACAGGTTCATTAAAAACAGATCCGCGTTTCCTTTTCATATTCCCATTGTAATCTCATCGGCGGAACATCCTAACAGCTTCTCGAACGTCCGTTTTACACGCGTCCGCTTGTTACGACTCCTTTCCACATGATTGACAACCGTCGATAATCGTTTCTTCATTTAATTATGTCGGTAACACGTGTTTGATTTCGAGGCATCTGATCTCCATAATCTTTTTTCCGTAATTACCACTGTCTCTAACGTTCAGCGTTACATGCTTATTGCGTGAGATTATCTTCTTAACCTCAATTGCAATACGATTTCTTGCGCGGCTACGTTCATTAGCGCGTATTCGTTTTTTATTGTTTTTTTCTCCTGACAGAACGAGGCAATTTCCCTTTCTTCAGTGTCGTTATTTACTTTTGTTTTTAGGACTTTGATAACGAAAGAATCAAATTTTGTTTCGATCTCTGGAAAAAATTAGTATTACGTTCGCATTTAGTTGGTTATGTTCGAACACTTCATGACGAGTTTGACTCGTTACAGCGCGAGGGGTCTCTCAGGGCACAAAATCATTGCCATTGTGGAATCTTTGATCTCTCTCTCTCTCTCTCTCTCTCTCTCTCTCTCTCTCTCTCTCTCTCTCTCTCTCCGGCTATCTTGTCTTTTCAATGGTACTTGATAGATCGGAATAATTCATTTCTAATTTATTGATTCTTTTACAGTGATCACAATAGTAAAAATATTCTCATAGCAATATATAAAATATTCTTATATAATTATACATAAGCAATATTAAAATATATAAAATATTCTCAAATTTTAAAAATCAAAATTTTCTGCATTAATTACAGGAACCTGAAGCGAAATGAGATCTTGTCGAATATGACTCCGGCATTCTTGATTTTCCCCTTCTAACGTTCAAACCTTCCACTTTCTGTCATAAATGCACAAAAACCTGCAATCCAATCGTACAGTCGCGTCCAACAATGTGCAATTAACGCGGCATAACATTATAGTGACACTGTTACGTCCCCCCCCCCCCACACACAATAATTCTTATCGACGAATAGGATCTCACGTTGGATGAAAAGATCAATGCAAATCACTGGAGCTGAAAGTTTGACGAACCATAAAAAGAGGGATCCGCTAAACCCGTTGTCCATTCAATGAATAGGACTCGGAGAAAAGAGACACAGTCCTTCTCGTGTTTCCTCAGGTGTAAGAACGCGTGCGTGATGTATGTGTACGTGTATGTGTGTGTGTATGTGGAATGTGAGTCAGCCAGGTAAAGACGCCCGGCGAAAAGGAAGAAAGGGGGCCAAAGAAAAACGATCAACATTCCCGGTGCAACCCCATGAGTCACCGGGTCGTCATCCCCGGTTAGCTACCTGCCGCCACCTGTTGCATCTACTTTCTAGGTCGCGTTCACTTTTCAATCCGTTTCGCGCCGGCCACTTTCCACCTTGCGCAATTTCCAATTTCCGTTTCTACGTCCAATCGTCATCGCCATCGTTCCAACTACTTCCATCGTGCTGTAACTACTCTGAAAATTATTTCAAAATTGTTGTAGGATAGTTCAAAGGAGACCCTTGCACACCTTTCTCGACCTTGTGCACCATTTAGAGCAATTTGTCTCTGCGGTAATGAAATTTTTCTTATTGTACTTTTTAATACAGCATGTTGTATTAAATTTTCTATTGTATTTTTGTAGCATAATAAATTATATATTAAATTTATTAAATATATATTAAATTATATAGAGGCTGTCCCAAAAATGTCCCGCAATCCGAAAGTGGCGGCTTCCTCGGGTCATTCGAAGCAACTTTTTCCTTTACAAAAATGTTCTCCGAGGCACCGTTAACGAGTTATTAACAAAAAACAATAACCAATAAGAATCGAGTACGGCCTGTCTCTTATACACATCTAGATGTGTATAAGAGACAGGCCGTACTCGATTCTTATTGGTTATTGTTTTTTGTTAATAACTCGTTAACGGTGCCTCGGAGAACATTTTTGTAAAGGAAGAAGCCTGTCTCTTATACACATCTAGATGTGTATAAGAGACAGGCCGTACTCGATTCTTATTGGTTATTGTTTTTTGTTAATAACTCGTTAACGGTGCCTCGGAGAACATTTTTGTAAAGGAAGAAGCCTGTCTCTTATACACATCTAGATGTGTATAAGAGACAGGCCGTACTCGATTCTTATTGGTTATTGTTTTTTGTTAATAACTCGTTAACGGTGCCTCGGAGAACATTTTTGTAAAGGAAGAAGCCTGTCTCTTATACACATCTAGATGTGTATAAGAGACAGGCCGTACTCGATTCTTATTGGTTATTGTTTTTTGTTAATAACTCGTTAACGGTGCCTCGGAGAACATTTTTGTAAAGGAAGAAGCCTGTCTCTTATACACATCTAGATGTGTATAAGAGACAGGCCGTACTCGATTCTTATTGGTTATTGTTTTTTGTTAATAACTCGTTAACGGTGCCTCGGAGAACATTTTTGTAAAGGAAGAAGCCTGTCTCTTATACACATCTAGATGTGTATAAGAGACAGGCCGTACTCGATTCTTATTGGTTATTGTTTTTTGTTAATAACTCGTTAACGGTGCCTCGGAGAACATTTTTGTAAAGGAAGAAGCCTGTCTCTTATACACATCTAGATGTGTATAAGAGACAGGCCGTACTCGATTCTTATTGGTTATTGTTTTTTGTTAATAACTCGTTAACGGTGCCTCGGAGAACATTTTTGTAAAGGAAGAAGCCTGTCTCTTATACACATCTAGATGTGTATAAGAGACAGGCCGTACTCGATTCTTATTGGTTATTGTTTTTTGTTAATAACTCGTTAACGGTGCCTCGGAGAACATTTTTGTAAAGGAAGAAGCCTGTCTCTTATACACATCTAGATGTGTATAAGAGACAGGCCGTACTCGATTCTTATTGGTTATTGTTTTTTGTTAATAACTCGTTAACGGTGCCTCGGAGAACATTTTTGTAAAGGAAGAAGCCTGTCTCTTATACACATCTAGATGTGTATAAGAGACAGGCCGTACTCGATTCTTATTGGTTATTGTTTTTTGTTAATAACTCGTTAACGGTGCCTCGGAGAACATTTTTGTAAAGGAAGAAGCTGCTTCAAATGATCTGAGGAACCCGTATATTTATTTATAATATATAAATTAAACATGAATTGAATTAAAATTTATATAAATCAAATCAAATATAAATTAATATTTTCTATTAATCTGTTGAAATGATCAGCTGATTCTGCTGGAACCAATAAGAGGATTTGCGTTGATATTGGAGAAATTAAGAAGTTGGAAAGTTTGATTCCTTACACGATATTTAAAAGTAGGTGTAAATTTA